AACTCTGTTAATAATTCTTCAGAGGGACAGTAAGATCAGAAGAATATTCTGATTTATTATTAAGTAGAGTCTAATGGTTTGGCTAGGTTATCTTATTTAATAGTATTTTCTGGTTTAATATGATTGTCTGGTTGAATAAGATTTTAAAGTCAGATAGTATTCAAGCTCTGATATTACTGATTTTTTTATAGTCTTTCTTGAAGAGATGAATTTATTTTTTGGATATAAGATTTATTAAATAATTATTTTCTTTATCATGTAGATATTGGTTATAATTCTAGTATTATAGTAGATATATCTACTAGTATTATTAATTACTTAAATAAATGTTTTCTAGAAGTTATATCCTGTAGCAGTTCAGCTAATAGTTTTTATAGTATATTTTATAATAGTGACATGTCTGTATATCTTACAGATATAGTAATTGATATTACTTGGATATACTTTCTGACTGTGGTATTAAATATTCTTTTCAAATGTATTTAATTATTTGGATATAATATAAAATTCAAAGAAAGAGAATATTACTATAATATTTTATTTAAGCAGGGAGTAAGGTTAGACAGCCATTATTTTATAAAACTATGTTTAGTATTAATAAAAGTTTATAGTTAATAGACTAGGAGGATAGTGTTTAGGTCTATTAGATTATATTAGATAAACTATTAAATAAGAGATTGATTGTGGTTGTTCCGCTCTATTCGGTTTTTCTGTATAGATAGATAGTCTCTGGATCAAAAACTAGAATATGCTATTATATTAGTGCTATCTATGTGAATGATAAATGAATTATAGTATTATCTTTCCTTTTATTATCTTGTTATTCTAAACTATTGGCGGGGAGATTGGCCTTCCTTGCAAGGCAGCCGCTGGTGGCAGAACCACGCGGCGGAACCTAGCAGGTTCACCCAAGTTGTTGGTGGCCAGCACCAACAGCTTCTTAAAAGAAATTATTAATTTTGATTTAAAAGTAATTTATAGATATATTATTCCTGATAATAAAAGACTTAATTAAAAAGAAATTCTAGTTTAAATCTTAAAATATACAGGATTATCCTGGGTTTGATACCTGCATTATATTAAATTTAAAGAATTCTAATAATTAAGCTGGTATAGAGACAGCTGACTAAATTATTTAAAAAAACTTATTTAAAAAAATATTTATCTTCTAGTCTACAGTAATATAAATATATATTATAAAAGTCTTATACTTAAAGGATAGCAATCCTGAGTTATAAAAAATAATCTTATAATTATAGATTAAAAATCCAGAAATATAAAGATAAAAAACAGCTATTAAATAAAAGCTATTAGAAAATAAGTATTAAAGTATTACTTCTTCTGAATATCTATATTTTAAAAGTTATTTATATATTTTCTCCTCTGAATTATTAAGATAATAACTTATTAAATTATATTATAATAATCCTCTAGCGGGATACTTTGGAAAGATAAAAACAGAAATATTATTATATAAAAAATTCTATTAAAATAGATTATATTATAATATAGCTGAATATGTCTGAACTTACTTAATATATTAAGATAATATTACTTTAAAATATTAATTATATAATAATCTTAAATCACTATTAATTTTATTTTATTTTTTTATTAAATTAGTAATGGACTTCATCACAGGACTATCTCTGGTTATCTAATATAGAAAAATTATTAATACTATTCTTATTATTATTAATTAATTCTTAAAATACTGTTTTTTTTTTATTATTCTATCTATGATAACTGCTCCAGATCTTGCTGAATTATTTTATAAATAAATTAAATTAATTTTCAAGCTCCCAACAGGTATTATATCTGATTAAGAATTAATCTTTACTAGTAAATTCTGGTTAAATTTAGCTTATAATAGTTATATAATCTTGAAGTTTTTAATAATATTCTATCTATAAATTAATAGCTAAACAGAATAAATAAACTAAATTTTTAAATATTATCTTCAGTACTACTCCAGCTAATTTGATATTAACTAGCCAGTAATATTATTAATTATTTAATTTACTTATAATAATATAAATAATATAATCACAGGCTTATTATTTTATAATATCTTATATAGCTATTTACTAGACTTTTATCTCAGAATTAAGAATAATTCTTAATAGTAAGAAATCCCAGTTATATAGAATAAGATTAAGAAGCTTAAAAAAACAAGAGAATAGTTATAAAAAATATAGTAAATAATTATAAAAAAATAAAAAAAATATTATAATAAGTGCAGAAGGCTATTCTGTTTTAAAAAAAAAGTCTAGTAAAATTATTAATCTAGAACTTATAGTTCAAAGAATCAAGAAAATTGGCTCTGAAATTTATAGGACTTTTTCAGATTTTTAAATATATTAGATTCCAGGCATATCACTTATATCTATCTGAGAAATATAAATAAATTCATAATATATTTTATATTTTCTTATTAGAATCGTGGAATATTAAAAAATATTATAAAGAATTACTCCTGATACCAGAGCTAAATAATAAAGATAAATAAGAGATTAAAAAAGTCAAAGATTACTAATATTATAATAATTAAGACTACTACCTGATTAAATAGAAAGAATAGCTAAGTAAGTATAATTAATAAATCTTTAATAAGAATATAATAAATATTTAACAAGCTATAAAGAACTACTAGAAAAAGCAGAAAAAATATATTATATAAATTTATAGATCTTTATTACTACATGGCTAAGTATATTAAGATATATAATATTATTCTATTACCACACGGCAGATGATATATAGATATATCTAGCTTATTCTATTTTTAATTTACTAACTAGATTATATCTGAATCTAGAAATCCTTCAGATAGTTAATATAAAAGCAGGGAATATAGTAATAAGATTAGTAATTTCAGGAAATATAATATATTTACTAAAATTATTCTCTTTATCTAATATTATCTTTTTCTTTATATCAGGAAACTGCACGTGAGCTATCTTTATAATAATATTTAAATAATATTTTAATACTGAGATCTAAATTATATAGCTATTATCTCCCGGTAACAAGTATAGTAGTAAGTTATAGTTATATATATAATATTCAGTAATTGTAGCGCCAGTGGCAGGGAAAGAAATTAATAAAATTAAAAAAAAATAATAATTAGTAAGAAACAAGATATATATTATAATATTTTTCTATTAGAATATTATATATTAGTTATTTATTCAAGTTTTCTCCAGATATATATATCTGGATGGTCTTGCGGGTGCTTTTAAAATTATATTAATAAATATAAATAAATTTTATATTATTAAATATTATAGCTAAATTATATATCTACTTGATCATGATATGTTTAATCTTATTATTTTAATATTTATTATCTAAAATAATCTCCTGCTAATTAAGAATCTTAGTTAAATTATATATATTTTTAAGTATATCCGCGGCAGTCTAGCCAGTATTAATATTATTATATACTATAATCAAAGAAATAAGTAGAAAATATAATAAAATATATTTTCTTATTCTTAGAATAACTACAGCATAAAATAAAAGTATAAATATTAAGATAATAGCTGATATCATAAAAAATATTTTCTAATATATTAAAGTTCTTGTTTACAGTATGTAAGCAATATATATAGAAAAAATATCTTATCTTAATAAGATTTTTTATATAATACATGGATATCCTTGGGGGGTATTATAATAGATCTAGAAATAAAATAAATAATCTCTGATAAAGCAGTGTAGATAATAAAGATATACTAATAAAAAATAATTAAATAGATAAAAAAATACAAGCGTGAATATAATACTTTAATATAAAGAAAAAGAACAATAGAGAAAAAAAAGAAAATATAATAATAAGTTCTTATTTATATCTTGCTATATTATAAAAACTCTATATTTTATATAAATATAACTAATAATTATAATATTATTCACAAACTGTATATAACTCTGATTCTATAATATATTAATATAGATTATTTTATCTTCTGCTATAAATTCTCCACCACTCTATATTAGATAATTATAAGATTATTTCTAATACTGACCCAGGCAGTTCAGTCTAGTAGAGAGAGGTATTATTTATGATAAAATAATCTAGCTATCATGGTAACGGCCTTCAGGATGATATACTATAGTAATTATAGAAGTTATAAGGTTATTAATAGTGGTTCTATATTTTCTTAATATCTAAAAGGTACTAATTCCTCTGCAGGAGACTACTGATTCTTAAGGATCAGTCTATCTCATGGATATAGACTACCTTTATTATTACTAGATAATTCCATTGCGTTTAGTGGTTGATTCCTTATCTAGTCAACAGGCTTTCTACCCTGACAAGTAGATCCTATCACACATTCAAAAATATGTAAATTAATTTTCTATATTTAGTTTAAGTGTTATTTTAAATTATAAGTAAATTACAGGTATTTCATATTACCAGCTGTTATATATAATTATTAAAATCTAAAAAAAAATCATTAAGAATAAATATTTGATTATCATAATCTAGTTCTCTAAGATAAAACCATTTTATTCAAAAAGGGTTGTGATATTAAAGTTAAAAAAAATAACTTTGATATAGCAATATTTGATGGGCCGCGCGATTGTGGTTTACGTTTAATCAGTAGTTACTGCAATTCAGTTTCGGAGGGTTCTAGCGTGATATGAATGCACTGACTGGACCAGGGTCCAATGGAGACTACTTATCCATACCTCTTCGTAGCTTTCTACAGCCAATCTAATTATTATACCTCTCAGAAGCGCTACTTGTCCGAGCTATTCGATGGGGGACGTCTCTCTTATTTCTGTAGGTTAACCATAGAAGTGATTTGAACAAGGGAATAAAAGTAGAAATACCAGGCAGAATATCTGCTACCACTAGTACGTATTTAGCGAGCAGAATAGGAGAAGAAAGGCGGTCATGCTAGTGCGGACGGAAACGAAGAACTTATTAGTTAGTGTAAGTATAGTGTAAGTAGTAATCCTAGCACTTTATTTGACAGTCCTCCCGTCCAGTCAGGGGATACTACACTTTTAGCCATGGCATAATGGACGTATCGGGTGACCGGGCAGCATCTTCTTCTACACCGATCTGCAGGCCTTTCATTGATAGCTTTAGTGAAACACATACTTTATCTATATATCTACCTGGACATAGTCGGCCACCTGCCATATACCCTTACCTGACGTTCAGAGAACCGGTCAGTCATCGTCTACGATGGTAATATATGTACTTGTCTCCCATGTTCATATCTCCACGAACATATTCCGCATCGCAAACACCAGATCAAGGGCTTCGCTTGGCCGCCAGTGAAAACCAACTGAAGTATCATACGCTTCAAGGGTGGCGTGCAGACGCGACAGTTGCTAGCCGAGCTCCTGAAATGTTACTGATTCATCAGGCCGGCAGTGTTCGTGTCGGCGAGATAATCAGGTTTGTGACCTTCATCCCTTAGCTCCTCCCTCATCATAGAAGCTACGCTACATGCAAGACCTGTTGCTTATTGAACCTGCCGAAACAGATACACGTTGACGTACACACCTGCGGCGGACAACATCCGCCCTCCTCCGGCTAAGCTACACGTCAAGATTAAGAATACATCTGCGCTGCCCCTACGAGCTGCATATCTACATGGCCCGTACACTCTCTATGCGTCATGTTATCCGTCCACGTACAACCCGAATATTGGCGTCGACCAACACGAATCAGAGTGTATTCCACAATACGAACCGTATCTCAAAGCAGGGGGCAGTTGGAATGCGGCCTTAATTGTACCCCAGAATACTTGCCACGATCGAGGAGAAATCCACTATGAATCTGAGAAAAGTACGACCTGGGTCATTGAAATCATATCTCAGGTTGTATTCTCGAGCACCGCAACCGTCAATTTCGAGCTGCTAGTTGGTCGTGATGAGAATTTGGTAGAATCACTAGCTACGGGTGCATCCTTCGGTGCCGGGCTACCGAAGGCTGCTCAGTTGCATGAGCACTGGTCAGTTGAGACAAGGGGCAAGCAGGTGCTTGCTACCAAGGGCGTCTACTCTCGTTCTATAACTTTACTATTGGACGACACTGCTAGTCTCTGGAACACACCGCATCTTCCACCAGTGGGCTCTGGTGATGAGCAGGCTTCAGCAACAAATGGTGATAACCAAAGCCAGCCGACTAAAGACAACCATATGAAAAGAATTCACCTTGTTGTGTTGACCCATGGACTACACAGCAATCTGGGGGCAGACATGCTTTACCTGAAAGAGAGCATTGATGCCGCCGTGAGGATGGCTAAAAGTAAGGCGAAAGCTAAAGGTCAGGGACACGGAGATCAGCAAAATGCCGAGGCATACCCAGCAATGGAAAGGTAAGCGGAGCGTTGGTGCGCCGCATGCGGATGCTGCAGCGACCTATTGATTACAGTTATCGGTTGCCTTGCGCGAAATTTTCCACACATGGCTTACAACAAATGTTCTTTTCCTTGTTCTTACGAACTCTTTACTTCCGGATTTTCCTCCCCTTCCGAACTTTGATTATTATCTTTTCAAGAAAGAAAAAACAATGACTCACAGGATGAATTGCTAACTTAAGCCTATATTAGGCCAGATTGTGAAGACAGCGAGAACGACGATGAGCAGGTAATAGTAAGGGGCTTTCCCGGAAATGCAACCCGCACAGAGCGTGGTATACAGTACCTTGGCAAACGTCTCGCAAAATATGTTCTGCGAATCGCATGTCCGGAGCAGCCTTTCGGTTCCCAGAAAGATGTAGGAAAGAATCCAGCGCCGTTCACACCGTGGAAGCGAGCCATTGGAGAGCCTTCTCAACATGACCAATCTCGCGATATGTACGGAGAACCGTCGCTCTCTCGGAATGGTGGTTATCAGGTCACCAGTATCAGCTTTGTCGGTCATTCACTTGGCGGTCTCGTTCAAACGTACGCGATCGCCTATATTCAAAAACACTTCCCTGACTTCTTCGACAAAATTAGACCGGTGAATTTCATAGCCCTGGCAACCCCATTTCTTGGTCTAAGTAATGAGAACCCGGTGTATGTTCGTTTTGCCTTAGATTTGGGACTCGTTGGTCGGACAGGCCAGGATTTAGGGCTTAGCTGGACAGCACCAAGGGTGAGGGGTGGCTGGGAGACTTTGATAGGAGGAAGGGGGCATTCTGTAAACTCCCAAGGAGTTTCAGACGCTCGTTCCAAGCCTTTGCTGAGGGTGCTTCCTTGTGGTCCCGCCCATGAGGTTCTTACAAAATTTCAACGCCGCACAATTTATTCCAATGTTGTAAATGATGGAATAGTACCTCTGCGGACCTCTTGTTTGCTCTTTCTTGACTGGAAAGGGCTTGACCGGGTTGAAAAGGCTAGGAGGGAAAATGGCATTGTGGGCACCATGGCCGAATGGGGCTGGGCAGAATTGACAGGAGCTAATTCAAATTCTTCACGGACCCATTTGACCAGCGAGGTAGAACTGACAATCACTAATGAGCAGAGCAGCTATGGCAACGGGGCTCGGTCAACAACAGACGATGCCTCTGCGGAACAAGATGTTTCAATCGTGGCTGGTGTTACAAGCTGTACAACTAAATCCCCGTCATTCGAACAGCATCGGTATCCTGCTTCATCTGGAAACAGTGTAAATACTACTCCCAGACAAGTCTTGTCTCGATCTACGTCAATGGGCCCATTGTCCAAAATGTTTTCAATTTTGCGACCGAAGGAGACAGCCAGAACACAGTCGGGAAACAAACAAACGAGGATATATAAGCGCAGCCAAACCGTTGACACACTTGGTGGTATAGAGAGCCCAACCGTTGCCAGTTCTTACGCTCAGGGACCCTCTGCTGCTGGCGACTTCCATGATTACGGGCCTCATACCCCTCCCCAAACTACGTTCTTCGAATCAGCTAGTGATCTTCTTATGCCGCCTCTTCCTTCCATAGACTTTATCCTCGATCCCGCTAAGAGGCCGAGAACAATATTCCATGATCGCATCTACAACCCCGAAGATATACCGCCCCCGATGGCGCCTAAGCGGCGAGCATTGACATTGGGATCTCTACAACAAAAACCATCGAATGCACAACCTGCTCCGAGAGTTGATTCCCGGGAGAAGTCACTTCCCGTCAACGAAACTGAGAGTGGCCTTAGGCTTGAAGAAAAAATCGCTAGAGCTTATCACCGTGATTTGTCATGGCGCAAAGTCCTTGTCCGCCTTGAGCCTGATGCTCACAACAACATTATTGTACGGCGAATGTTCACCAATGCCTATGGCTGGCCTGTTGTGCAACACCTCGTCAATACCCATTTCGGACCTCCATCAATAGCTCGCTACAATGATGCAAATGGACAGTGCGCTGACCCGTTGAATGCATCGGCAACCGAAACTGAAAACTCGAAGAATGGTGATGAACCTCGAGGTACTTTACAAGAACCACAATTGGATACTTGAAGATTGTTGCCAACGTCATACATACTGGAAGGAATTCAGCGCACCGCGCTGAACACTCTTTTCAGGTCTAGACCCTAACCCACATACAATCCGGGGTCAAAGTAAAGGAATCTATTAGCCGATACAGGTTACTAATGATTTTTTCGCGTTCCATGGGTTCATGCTTCTGTTGGGATCTTGAGGCTTGCCAAGGATTGCTCAACATGTACGCCAATATGTGTTGATTGCTTTTCGATTCGTATGATAGGTCTCCTATCAGAACTGGGGCTAATGAGGAAAGTGCTGGCTGCGTCCATATATATATTCAGCTGAAGACTCAAATACTTGCGCATGTAGAGATGCATATGTACGTCATATAGTATATAGTATTGTAATTTTACTCATTCACAGCACAGTATATTTGCACACCGTAAACGATGATACTGATCTGAGACATAGCTGACTCACGGTAGACCGAAGCATTTGATCCGCTAAGTGCAGGTATCAGTATTCAAAACTCCCCTGAATCTGCCCCCAAAACTCCTTAATGAGCTCCAGCCTGCTGTTCTCATCGGAGCATGCTCTAACAGCAAGGTATTTTCTTCCATCGAGAGTTGCTTCCCACGTTCCTGGGTTTCCATCTATCATGACACCACCTGCTTCGGTCAGTATTACCCAGCCTGCACAAACATCCCAGGCCCAGCAACCCCCTTCCCAGTATATGTCTAAAGTCCCAGCTGCGACAGCACAGAGGTTCAGCGCCGCAAAACCCATGCTGCGCATCGAACGGACCATTGCACCACCATCTTCCTTTGCTCGGCCGAGTTTCTCGAAAGTTCGCACCTTTGTTTCCCAATTGGCACCTGTCCTCTCCGAACCCCACTCAATACCGACGAGTGAATTTTCCAGGCCTTTCAATGGCCCTATATCATCGCCCTTTAAGGGAAGCTTGGTGGTGCGGTTCAAGTATGACCCACGGCCTTGTATTGCAGAATAAAGAGTGCGTGTTAAAGGGTTGAAGACGACACCTACAATGGGTACACGGCGAACAGCGAATCCAAGAGAAATACAGGAGCAGGGAAATCCATGCACAAAATTGACCGTACCATCGATAGGATCAACTACAAACGTGGGTGCATCGGTTAGGGGATAGGCTGGGTCATAGGTCTCTTCTCCATGAAACCTGTCGGTCATGTAAGTCAAGAACAACATCGAGTTGAAAGTAAGATGGTGTCAGTGAGAGTGAGTGCAGTGGGCTGCACTTGAAAGCGCAGGTAGGTGAGGAATGGACCATGAAGCATGGTTGTTGGGGGAAGGGGGGGGTGGGGGGTGATAAAGAAGTCCGTATAGACCTACTGGTATGATGGATATTTTTCCATTAAGGCAGAGGATATCATAGTTTCAACGGCTTTATCATATCGAGTGACGATATCAGCAGCTAAAAGGATAGGGTTAGCGGAGCTTCGTTCATCTGCACGACCAAACCGCATAGCTACATTGCGTGTACATCAAGCTGGTGGGGCATATATGGTAGTCTTACAATTCATCTTTGATCCAGTACTATCATCGGTAGGTAGAGCGCTGTTAATGATATCCCCAGCACGGAAGGCCAGGCTGATCAGGTAATCATGGATCTCGTCAAGATCAATGGGTTTGCCGTCATGTTGGTAAGATTTAGGAGCCATGGTTCTCATGCATAGGAATGGAGTTCGAAGGAAATGGAAAAGTGTCTTTGACTCTAGTGGATGCTCCGTTTGTACAGTGGGATGGGCACCAATTTATAGATTAAAATACCAGATACAAGATGGTGAGGAGGTCTTCAAATTGAACGAGAAGCCGCTCACGCGTGAGAACGGAGAGGGGCCCCCGAACCTTGTCTGTCTGATGCTTTTGGTTTTAGCCATGCCCGGCTCGGGCCGCCGAATGTACTGAGCCTATTTCATCTAGTCTACGTATGTGAGGGGTAGGACCTTCCTCTGTTGGCAGGTCGTAGCGGTAGTGATATTGAACTCGGTCGTGAGTACCACATCTATGAGACTTGTGGATTGCTGGGAAATTTAAGTTTGAATGTCCTGTAGTCTAATTTCGAATATAGGTATATCCCAACTATGCCCGTTGAAGAGTGGACTAGCCGGTTCGGCATCCGTGGCTCTGTGCCCGCAGATGTCATTCTGCATCCATGAATCAGGAGAGTGTTGCGCAATGCCAGTGAGGAAGAAGATCATTTTTGCGCCAAGGTCCAACTCTACTTATGATATCTATTCGTATCCGAGTGACTACCCGACGATTCAATAATTGTCATCACTGGCTAGAGGCCCTAACGCTCTGGCTCAGTTCTTTGTTTAAGAGGGCCCTTAGCACCAATCGACAGCATCCAAACAGTGCAGCCTGGATGGTGGTCTGACCAAGGATACTGAATACCAAACAATTCTTGGAGACGTGCATGTATGCTGCTTCACAAGCCTTATTGCCACCTCAATCTTGACTGGAGATCAATGACCCGGGCCCAGTTCTTTGTTCGATATCCTTAGCTGTCAAGCAGTGTTTACTGGGTTGTGGTCTCATCCGGGGCATTGGATGATAAATGCTTCGTAAAGCCCATCAAGCCGTTTCACCACGAGTTTATCAGATCAGTGGCCATCGCATCTTCACGAAATGCCATGCCACTATCATAGCAATATACAACACCATTCCGAGGCTTTACTCGCTTCATTGCCAGGAGGCGGTGATGAGAAAGTCTCTGTTAATGCTGCTGGTCTAAACCGGGAGGAGCTTCGTCAAGAAGCTACCCGGAAAAGCATCAGTGAACTGCGTTCGGTCCCCAGCAGCAGAGTCTGGATTACCACCAACAGATACTGCACCATCGGAAATAGCATGGGCAGGCTGGAAAGATACTTGCACAACATTTGGCATTTATATTACCAGGTAGGTAGGTATCTGTCGCATGAGAGTCCTGAGCATGATGCTATTGTCCTAGATAACCCCCGCATTCAGGGCAAAGGCTCACTATCCAGGCCAGTAAAAGGGGTACCTGGTGTTGATGTGGCAAGGGACCGAGATGACAAATTTTGGGATGACTTCCCTTTCATTGTACCAGACATGGCAGACTACTGAACGGGTTCGTGACAATGCCTAGGACCTAGCGGCTTAACTTGACCTCCTTTCTCTTGCTGAAGTGGCCTCAACTCGCGTCTGCAAGGATCAACTCTGTCGGATTGCCGCCTTCCTGCTCCGCGTTACTTTGGAGGAAAGAAATAGATCACCGCCCCATTAATAGGACAATCGAAGAAGACCCATTACGCACGATGAAGTAGGTTTCAAAGGCAGACTTGCTGCCCTCTGCCTACGCGTGGTTTAACGTGCTGGTGAGAAACTTGTCTAATTGGCGAATATCTCGTGAAACGATAGCCCGAAATTGATTAGGCGCAGTAGCTGGCAATTCAATGAATGGCAAATAGCACAGCAGCCGCAGCCCGGCTTCACTCCTTGGAGGTGATTGTTCTGGCCTGAAGAAGTCGTTGAGGCCACACGGGGATGAAGGCGAGGAAGACGAGAAGGAGAAGGAAGGCGAAGAGGCCGGCATCAATGAGAAAATGGACAAAGCGAGTGCGGTGGGTAAGGACTCTGTTTAGGATTGTTCCCTTCCATGTTGTATTGACTCACCCTTGCAACTCCCCCCTGCCTTGATGCTGTCGCAGCTCCCTGGAGCGTCAATAGTACATTGTGAGTCTTCTTGTAAGTCAGCATGCGCACAATCATGCTAAATTCGATAACACATATTTATGGCCCTAGGGCTCTCAGTCCTTAGTTGATCAAATGGTGACAATAGGGTTAAGTTCTGTCTCTGAGACAACCATATAACTTTGTATACATCGCGGGGCACGCAACTCGGAAGAGAGGGGTCACCGCCCAGCCCAGTATTAGAAGGTCCTCCTCTCAATCACGAGCAGTGTCTAACACCGCGCGTTTGCTTTACTGAAATCCAGTAGTCTGTCTCGATACTTATACATAGGAACTTCACATAAATGTAGTATTTCAAGCCAGATTGAACAGGAGGAACCTACTATGGCTGGATGGCTACCCAATCGAGTGGGCGGTACCGAAGTCTGAAATAGTTGACCCCCACCAGCCGGCGGGGAAAAGAAGACGAAGAAAAGGAAGAGAAAGCACATATTACATTGATATCAGCGTGTGCAAATTGTCGCCTCTTTTACCTCTTCCCTCAATTTGAAGTTAAGAACCCTTTAACATGCCGACAGAGCTAGAAGAGGTAGGTAGAACCATGCCTTTGACTGAAAGGAAGCCCAGGGTCCTCAGTTTGGAGACTGATGTATTCGCATCGACCAGCTTGTCGAATTCCTCCACCATGGAAACACCCCGATCAGACAGATTGGTAAGCTACAGATTGCGTAGACTTCTGCTTCTTAAACCGCAGGTTTCTGCTATCTTCATATCTCGCCATCTTCCGAGGCATACATCAGCGTCATTCTAACGTCTGGTCTTTTCAGCATGCGAAAATCTAGTGGGCTTTTCGGTCTCACAACCAGAACTTTTCAAACGCCACCAGCTTCTCCCAGTCCGTGACCTGAAGCTTTTGGTCCGCGACTACACAGTCAGTACTCGGGTCCTTCAATTGTGCCGACAAACATTGACCAAGGCATTCGCTGATCTACTTCCGACCCTGAAAGCCTATCGCCAAAAATGCGATAACAATACTTATCAACCTTTCGGCCGATGATGAAGTCTTAGCGGCTCTTGCGGAAGACGATGCTTTCGTCGAAACCCTCTTAGTTAAATTGACGGTGAGTTGTCTAATTGATATCAATATCTGCATAGCGGCCTAACACCCAGTTCTACAGAATGTCAAGGAGCCGAATGCGGATGATGTCGCCATGTTGTTCGCCAACCTCGCGAAATCAGAAAAGATGAAAAAATTGCTCGCGCTGAAACGGAAGGTTCCTGAGGGGGTATCCAGTTCTGCTAATGCGATCGATCAGCTGATGGACTGTTTCGTCAAAGGGGCCGAGGGCACCCTTAACAAAAACGCCAATTTCGACTATCTGTCCTATTTGTTTGCTGATCTCTCAAAATATGAGGAAGGGCGGGCCTATTTCACTACAAAGCAAGAGTACGATGATGTTGTGCCAGTGACGAAACTAACCGTGTTCACGGAACACGCGAGTAGGATCCGGAGAAAGGGAGTCGCGTCAACTATCAAAAACGTCGCATTTGACCTGCCTTTCCATCCCAAACTCCTGTCTGAAGACGAGGCTGATATTCTTCCCTATATCTTGTTGCCTATCATGGGCCCTGAGGAATATGATGACGAAGAATCTATGGATATGCTGCCAGATCTCCAGCTGCTGCCGCCCGACAAACAAAGAGACAGCGACACTAGTATCATTGTGACACACCTTGAGACTTTGCTGCTGCTCACCACGACGCGTGAGGGACGGGATAAGATGAGGGCCATCAAAGTATATCCTATAATCCGAGAATGTCACCTCCATGTTGATGACGACGCTGTTCGGGAAGCCTGCGATAGGCTAGTTCAGGTTTTGATGCGGGATGAAGAGGGCGAAGAAAAGCCGCATCCCCCTATCGACAGGAATGTATATGATGATGACCAAAAGGTTGAGGAGCTATTCTAAGGATCTGCATGCAAAAGGTGCGCATGTGTTGTGAGGCATTTGGGAGCCCGTACCAATAGACGAGCCTAGTGGCCTTTCTACATACAAAACATCTAAAAAGTCTTCAAAAAGATTCATCTTTTCAAATTCTCTCGATAGGGAATTGACCTGTAAGCTTGGGCCGTCATGTATTGTAGTCTAGACCTGTGACGCTGTTGTCAGATTGAAGTCTAGTCAAACTAGTCACTTAAAGTAGTTAGACGGATGCATTTGTTCGCATCGTTGCCAATACTATACAATATGTATGTATTTACCTATATGACCAGCCTGCTTGCCCCAGGCATTTCGCAGGATATGTCAGACTGAAAATAGACAATACCCACAGTCCGCTTTGTTTCCAATACTTCAAAGTGTTTCTTTGATCTGTACAGGCCGAGGTAAATGGTAATTCACATAGTAGTGATAATGTCCAATAGACACCATAAGGGCTGACAACTTGAGTGAGTTTCTGTAAAAATACAATGTAGCCCACAGTGACATTATCTGAGCAGTGGTAACACCAGACGGAGTATGCCGTTGTACCTTTGTGACGCCACTACCTTTGTCAACAAGTGAAAGTCCACTTACATAATCACTTTCACTTCAGTCATCTCGCGTCCGCCCGGTTTCACTTCAAGTACTCAACGCCTGAGTAGTTATCTACTCTCGCTCGAGATCTTCATCTTCCACCCGGCACACCGCATGAATCTGACAATCTGACTCTGGCCTTAAGCACAACACTTGCAGTATTCAAGCCAGTTTTCCTCGAAGACTTGCCAAGGGCTTGCCTGACCCCGACAAGTACCACAGAACGCTATTATGACCACACCTACTAATGATCAGACTCTCAAGACCCCGACGGGGTCGAACGGTCCTCCACCACTGCGCATTCGCCGGCCAAAAGTGGCTGATCCTCTAGTGCGACCGAAGAGGAGACCGGCAATGAGACCCCCAGCTCCAACGTCGGCAGCAAATGGCGCATCAAGAATGCCCAACTCCAGACCAGTCACTTCGGGCCAGCTACCAGGGGCTCGCGCTGAGAAAAGCTTGACCCCAAAGAATGATTTCTCGGCAAACGGTTTCAGCGGCCCGTTGTTGTCTGAGAATTACGTTGATTACCCCATCGTGACTACAAGACGAGCATTGCGCGAAGGCTTGAAGCACCATATCGCCAGGTTCACCTCGAAAAAGTCCGTCGATCCTCGCGACGAAAGTCAGTTTACTCGCCCCGTTAGACTCCAGCGCCGAGATCCACGAGCACGGCCGAACGACGCGAACGTCGAGAGAGGCCAACTCAATTCGAAACCCGGCTCCGAACAAAGTACCCAGATGGATGAACTTGAACGCGAGGAGTTGGAGGCTAGAAAAGCAGCTCGTGAAAAAGAGCGCGCAGATAATATGGCCCAAATAGCCCCTTCCGTCGGCTCAGCGCCGAAAAGGCATAATGCCCCCAAACAGAAGACCCAGCAAGTGACTAAAACAGACATGACCCCCGAGGAGATTGCCAGGACTCGGATCAAGTATGAGGAGGCCCTTCCGTGGCACTTGGAGGATTTCGACAACAAAAATATCTGGGTAGGAAATTATGAAGCCGCGTTGTCAGAGACCCACGCAGTCTTTGTGCTTGAGAATACAGGGAAGATGAGAATGATACCGGTTGAGAAGTGGTATCGCTTCAGCGCGAAGAATACATTCAAGGCTTTGACCATAGAAGAAGCCGAGAGACTTATGGCTAAGAAGATCAAAGATCCGCGGTGGTTCATGGAGAAACAACAAGAACAAGCTCAACGGAAGGAACTGGAACAATTTGCCAGACAACAAAAAGTGTACGCTGGTAAACAGGGAACCCCAGGCGGTGTCGAAGGATTAGAAGCGGATGAGATGGACTTCGAAGAGGATAGATTTGCCGATGATGAGGAGCATGATGATCTTTTCAACGAGGATGAGGAAGCCAAGGCTGCTGAAAAGCGAATCAAGCAAGACCAATTGAAAGCCAATGTGTTTGATCTGAAGAACGAAAAGGACTATGAAGAGGAGGAACTTAGAGAGAAAAGAGAAAAGGAAGCCCGTCGAGTGCTTGGAAAGAAAGTACGCAAGGCCCTCCAGAAAAGGGAAAAGAACTATGATTATAGTAGCGGTTCAGATGTGAACCCTTATTCAGATGAGGAGGTACATTTTTCGTCCTTACCCTTTTCATATGTACATTTGTACAGGATTTTTTTTGGTGACGATCTGACATTGGACAGAGCTCGGACGACAGTGAAGCTGAACGACAGAAGGAGGAGGAAGAGGGCAAAGCCGAGGAGGACAAGAACAAGAAAGAGCCCTCAAAAGGCAACCTTACTCCATCAGGTCGCTCACGACATGCCGATCCGACCAAGAAAGGCTCTGCCGCAGCACCTAGAAAGCGACTAGGGTCTCCTTCTGATGCAAGTGGTACAGATACGTCCCGCAAGAAGGGGAAGAGCAAACATCCGTCTTCCCAGCCGACACCTCAGCCACCATCTCGTCCTATGTCTCCAAGCGCGTCATCATTACCCGTACGTTTTACGTTCGTTAAACTGCATTTGTTTCGATTATTGACTCGGCCTAGGTCAGCAAAAAGCGTGTTCGGAATGTGTTAGCAGGCGGCGCGGGATCTGCTAGCGATGTTGACGGCGGGGCTGGATCGGGAGGCGAAATGAGTGAGAGTGGAAAGGTTAAGAAACTAAAGCTCAATCCTCCGTCAGTGGCATCACAGAGTGTGACACCGCAGGGCTCAAGGGCCGGCAGTCCGGCTCCCTTGGGCAGCAAGAGCTTCTCTGGCAGTCGTGCTAGCAGTCCGGAATCTTTGAGGGGTAAGTTATATGATTCTATCATTCTGTGCACTACGAATCGATTTACTGAGTGGCTGTACACCTTCAGGTCCAACACGCATTTCAACCCCGGGTCCATCTGGTAGTGCCCAGGGCTTCCCAACACCCGCAGAAATCCATGCTGCTATTCCGCAGTCTGGTATTGGAAGTAGTGATCTGCTTAGAATCTTCCGTCCTCGTATTGGGGAATCCAAAGAGAACCACCGGCGTTTCATAGCAATTGTCAAAGATGTTGGAGTGTACGGGAAAGAAGATAGGCTCCTACGACCTGGTTCACTGAAAGAGACATAAACCGATACATCACTATCATGCAGATCATATGACAGTGTTGTCTCGCACCAATGAACAAAGTGCTTTCGCGAAGCGTGAGCGATCAATGGAAAGACCAGAAAAAGCCTTGCCGTTGCACTGACTTGAAGGAAAATCCCCATGGTTTTGTAGGGGTTGCTGGACAGTGTACAGCTAGCTATAGGGCACAAGAGACAAAGGCGCCACCGGTGTATCTAATCTTAATTCGATAATCTACATAAGTTGGAATATTCTTTCGTACCTGTCAAGGCAAAGTGATTTTTTAGGCCCGATCGTTGTCAAAGTCTTCGTAATTGTAGCGAAAGAGGCAGCGTCAATCCAGCATCGAGCGGATCGACTTGTGCATAAAAAAATGTTGCGAGTAGTAACAAATGCATATGAGCAGTTTGAAATCACCTCAATCCGTAATAGAGTATGTGAAGAAATTTCATCTCTTATTCTCATTCGCACCGTAATAGTTGATTGATACGACTATATTCCTACATCAATCGCCAAGGGTCTGACATATTGAACAGTGATATTAGGGGCAATTTCGAAACACCAGCGCTAGAACAAGACTGAGATTTAGAAACAAACGAACAACAGAACTCCTATATATATTGAAAAATGAATCTACCCCTAGGCATCAGCCACTCCAGTGTTGCGTTCACCATCCTCATATTTCTCCCAGTTGGCTAGGATATGCGCGATTCTGGGAGAGTTGGTGAGTCTGTAAACATCCTCGAAGTACTCCTTGGTGATCTCGAACGGTCTTGCTGTGACGTTCGGGATATATTTGCCGATCAGTTTACTAGGGTCAATAGTAGTCTTGTTGATCTTCTTGAGCAAGAAAGAGCGGAAGGGCTTGACACCAGAACGAAGGAAGGTGCTGTGGAAGGGCACATCAATGCCTCGGAGAGGAATGGTGGCGAAGCCGCGCTCGAGAGCAATAGGCTTAGGCTTCGACTCTGTCTGCTTGACACACTCTTGGATAATATTGACAAGGTGCGTCTTGACGTCGTCCAAAGACATGCTCTGCATAAGTGCAGGGATGTCAATGTTCTGAGCCTTGAGATAGTTGAGCAGGTTCGTGAGACAGTCGAGTGCCCGAAGCTGCAAAGAAGTTAGAACAGAACGGACAATAAATTGTAGATATAGGGGTTAAGACTCACATCACCGGCAGCAACATATTGCATGTTGGCGACATTGTAGTTGACAATCTCCAGGAGCCAGCCAGTCTCCTCAGAAATGTTCTCCACCACATATTGCAAGGCTTGTTCGTTGAACGTCTTGGAGATTCGGCTCGGGTTGACAGCACACATAGAGTAGTTAGAGCGACCTTGCTCGTCTCGCTCAACAGCAACCTGCATTGTCAAGCCACGATAGAACACAACAGAGACCAAGCTTTCGATGGGCATGACATCGGCAAGTGCGGCGAGAGCCGAATACTCACCCAGCGAGTGACCTGCAAAGCTGCTATCTCTTTGGACGAGACCCTTGGAACGCATGTCCTCGAAACTTGCCTTCTCCATCAAAGTCAGAGCCGGCTGAGTGAACTGAGTTGCGGAAAGCAGGCCAGAGGGCGAACGGTAAGTGTAAGACGCCGTATCCTCGTCGATCTCCTTGAAGATCTTCTCAGACTTGATGGATCCATCTGCGTTGACGGTTTCAAAGGTCATCGACATGTAGTTCTGCCGGATAGCTTTACCACGAGGACCACCAAAGTAGACAGTCAGCTCCTTGGGGTTGTTCTTCACAATGTCGATGATTGAGAGACCGTAATTCTCGATGAAATGGCGGTCTGCACGATCCCAAACCTCTTTGGCAACTGGGCTGTTGGCGTACAATTCCATACCCATTCCCTGCTCCTGGGATCCCTGGCCGGTAAAGACGTACGACGTGACAGGTTGCTCTACTTCAGCCTCACCAAGGA